GTCTAGAATTTCATTAGCTATGATACAGTAATATATTTCAGTCTCGTGATCTAAAACAACGTTACCATCCAATAAAGTAATTTAAATAGGAAGAATTTTAACCTCCATGGACTAGGTGAAAAAAAAGTGACGCCTGAACCGTTTGGGATTAATTATACCCTGAACATTATCAATCTATAGGTATTTCATCGTTTTTGTAATAAGAACAGACCTCGATAAAGCAAACATTGATCTGTTAAAAATAAACGATTTATTATTAATAACAACAGTTTCGAAACCGATGGGGTCAATTTGACCCCAAATGGTTCGCGGAAGATTAAATACATGGTGAAAGTTAATTCAACTTTCCAAGGAAATTTAACGAATGTAGAGAATGTTTCCTCGGTAGAAATCACGAGAAATTATGCAAAAATAAAAGCGATACAAACTGCTAGTTAGAAAATGTCTACGCGTTATAGTGTGTGCGCTAAAAATCAATCCAAACAGTTTTCGATAAGCAGATACGACAGTTTCGATTGCAAATTCCAGTAGATAGATTGATTTTCTAGCACTTACTCTTCATCCAAAGCCGCTATCGAAAGAAGTAAAGACACGCAGCCCCCAGTTGAAGTGTCCGAAAATTAAATCAAGTTTCCAGGCGGCTGAGAGGGTCGAAGCTGGCGGCCGAGTTAGTCCCGCCCCTGGTGATTACTCATCTGACCAGGAAGGAAGGGTTCGTGGGGTATATCTTTCGGCGAGAAACGGGCTTGCTAACTGAAACCGCAGAGACAAAGCACGATCCGGGACGGCCGAACGGAGGGATGAGACGAAAGAATATTAGCGGACAGCTCGGAGGAGTAGCGGTGCCATCTTCGTTCCTTTTTTTCCGGGGGGCTTTCGTTTCTTCTGGCTGCCGTCCTTTGGCTCTGCTTCGGCATCGTCATCTTATACTTTTAGTAGGAGAAGAAAGACGGTCGCTAATAGAATCCGCGGTCCTTTATTTACTCGGCTGGCCGGTCGCAGCCCTCCGCCCGCTCCACACCAATTTTCGGTTCTTCTTTTTCTCCCTCGCTCGTCTCTTATCAAGCCGATCCTCCTCCTACCGTTCAGAGGGTCGGCCACGAGTCGCTGCGACGACCTGTCTTCTTCGCAGAAAATGACAAATTCCTCTCGCGTCCCCCGCTATTATTATATTAGACGATTCTCCGCTCGTTCCGTTCGTTCTCCGTCGCGTTTAACGACCACTTTGCGAACGGTGTACGCCTCTCTTCTTTCTTTTCCGCGCCACCGCTCGCAAAAACGACGTTTCCTCATTTTTCAGACGATCGCTGAAATAACGGACAGCGAGAATGACATTTTCTGAAAGTGCTGGCGGAATTTGTGACAAGCTACAAACTGTTTCCAACTACAGCAGAGACGCTCTTATCCGAAAGTTTATTTTGTGTAATATTCTGATAACAAAATATTCTATTGAAAAATTTAATTCGATATAAATTCGATATAATTAAGACAATGGTTAGATAATAGAACGTTCGGATATCAGAATATTGTAAAAATAAATATTCGGATAAAGAAGACTCTGCTGTATTATTTTAACACTTTGACTGTGCCATGTCACCCATGTATGGATCACGGAATTATTTACGCAGATTTGACAATTATGTTTTACTCTATTACGTCTCTCAAGTATTATATTATATACACGTAATATAATTGTTCACATAATATAATTTGTGTATACCTTAATTCGATTATGCATTAGAAAAGTATTGTTATAAAGCTACAATATTTCTGGAAATATAAACAACGATCTTATCAATATAAATTCAATGTTGGTAGTCTATAGAGGATGAGTTATTTATCTCTTTCATTTTAACTTTCCTTGCAATGTGCAGGTTGTATAAAAAAATGTTTCGAACGAAAGTGGTCTGGTACCAAGATAGGTATCCACGGTAACAATTAATTTATTGCCATTTTCCCTTTTTATCAAAATATGACGATTATCTTGTGTTTTTAACTCGACAACATTTAATCATACCATTCGAAAGTCTATTAAATACGGAATAAAAAATGATTAAAGTGCATAGGTTGAGAAATTAATTTTTATCGAGATATTATTTAGCTAAATTTCTAAAAATATTATATATTACATATTAACTAACTACTACATATTAACTAATAACTAACTACTACTACTAACTACTACTACATATTAACTAATTACATATTAATAAAATATTATATATTAACATGTACGTAGTGTAAAATTAAGATGAAAGAGTTAAATGACTCACCCTGTATATCAACTTATCTATAAAGTACACTTTTCAAAAATAGGAGATTGAAGTTTAACAAATATTCTTGTCAAAAGAATGTTTCTTTTCTTTCTTCAAAGATCTGTTTCTTTAACCTTCTTTTTACTAAAAAAGCAAACGTTGGCTACACTTAACCAACGTACAATTTTCTATATTATTTACATGACTTCGTATTATATTCGCATTTATGTGAATGCCATTCTGATTCCTTGTACTTCCATTACATTAATATTATAAATCATTTAGAAATTAAACAAATCAATTAGGAATTAAACAATCCGCGGTCGCGCACAACGACCGCTTTGCGAACAGCGCACGCCTCTCCTCTTTCTTTTCCGCAGCCATCGATCGCAAAAACGGCGTTTTATAATTTTTTCCGATCGGTGTAACGTTCCGATGTCCAGTGATCCGATAATCGCGTACGAAAGGCTTTTTACGGTGGCCGGCAATAGGATTTATTCCATCGGCGATGGGACCGCTGAAAGAGGAAACGAACCAGCGCGCTCCACGGAGCGAAGCCCCTGGTGGAACAAGGAGTTAAGCTCGTTGACATCGCACTCGTGAGGTCAGCCAACCAGAGTTCGATTCCCACCGATCTTACTTTCGTACTTTGCCACTCACTTACTCACTTGGCCGTGGCTCGCTCGAGTATCGAGGGTATACGCGTCGATGTGCATCGCTATCAGGGGGTCACGTGCCGGGGTCGGATACTTGTTTCGCTGCTGTTATCACGTTTATTTGCGTATTATATTGCCACTTTTACGCGCAAATATCTTTTATGCCCTTGCCACTGTTGCAACTAGCGGATCGCTTTGCTAGGCGTCGGGAAAGATCATTATTATTCGGCCGCACACCGTAATGCGAATCTCGCTTTGCACCTTTTGAGGGTGAACACGTAGACGGACTTGCCAATAAAAGTCACTGACATATTCATAACCTTGGCATACGATACAAACTTCTATTATGTCAACGAAAATATCAATTTTATCTTTTTATAATTCTTTAACCCTTTGCACTCGAAGCCATTTTAACTGTAAATCTAAATTAATTTTCTTGACTTATGGTATTTCCATTTTACATGACGAAGTGCATTTTATGCATATGAAATTTAGTCTTGTGACTCATACAACAGTTAGACTCTTAATAATTTTTTATATCTAAACTTTGATAAGATCAAAATTATCTTGAAACATGATATAACAATTTTTTTTAGTAGTGCCTCAGAGTCACCACTCGAGTGCAAAGGGTTAATTTATGATTTTTATCTTATTTTTGCATGTTTAATTTTTACTTTATTTTTGTACCTTTAATTTTTACCTAATTTTTGTAGTTTTAATTTTCATCTTATTTTCATATTTTTAATTCTTTTAATTTGTCGTATGCACTATACAAAATAATATTGCATTACAATAAAGAATGTGTTATATGCTTCACTAGAATATATATTTTTTATTTAACACGTTCCGTGCCGAGCTTTTTTTACTCGAATCTTCACACTTTGATATTTTACTAAAACTTGATGTATTACGTGCAATTATTAATTCTCGTACACATAACAACGTAACAAAAACTTATCAACGCCCATTCTTGCGGTGGAAATTGATTCTTCGGTTCTAAATTTCTTGTAAACAATTTGTTCAGTTCACTAAGTAAACATGCAAGCGTGTACCATCGATGGTACACGTGGCACGGAACGTGTTAATAAGACGTATTTTTATTGAAAAGTCAAATTTTATTCAAATGTTAACGGTATATGAAGCTTCCTAAGTTTCGTCGGTAAGCGTATGACCATGACTATGGTCATTCGCGTGTCATTTTGTAGGTCGTGGGACATCGGAAGAAGTATATGAAACATGGTGACAATCGTGACCCAGCACAAGAATTTTTACTTAGGTACAAGTTCAAGAAACGCATTCATAGTAATAGCAACAGGAGATTTTCCCGTTGTGGCTGTTCTGAAAATTAAACAACGGTAACTTCAACTACGAAATAACGAAATTACTTTCTTCGTCATTGACAGTCTAGTAACACTTCGTATTGCTAAACGCGGCTAATGTATATTGCATATTGTTTCATAACTAGACAGCGGATTTTAATGCAAAATAAATATTTTTGGCCTCGATTGCAGAAAAGAGAGGTTCGGTAAAAAGAGTACTTATTTTTTTAATGATTTCAATGAGATGTGAATAATATAACAGAGCATTCGTCAATTCTTCGAATGTCTTCACATTCTTGCATTTGACTTGTCCATTTTTGTTACAAATGCATAAAATCCGCAGTTTATTTATAATATTGACAAGATTGGATTTACATAAACTTCGTACAATTTCTATTGCGATATATGCTCGAATAAATCAGTTTATCTGAAAATGTCACATGGAAACATTTTTAATAATATCAAGAATTACATAATAAAAAAATATAAAAGAAAAACTGAAAAGCCAGTCATCTCGACTTTGGTAATTCCAGTATATTAATTTAGCCCTTATAGAATGTATGTCGCGTTTCACGTGACATTATATAGGGTGTCCCATAATTATGTTAATATTTGGAAAGGAGTGATTCCTGAGGTCATTTCAAGTAACTTTTTCCTTAGCGAAAATGCAATACGCGGCTTCGTTTACGAGTTATTAACGAAAATCATTGACCAATGAGAGACGAGCTCCGCTGGCGCAAGGCGACCGAACCAGCGAGCGCTCGAAGCTCAGTTCCGCTGATTGGCCGCTTAGCGCTAGGCGAGCTCGCCTCTCATTGGTCAGTGTTTTTCGTTAATAACTCGTAATAACACCCTTCGTTATTATATTTATTTATATTTATATTATATTTTCGTTAATAACACTCTTTCCGGGTGTTAACATAATTATGAGATATTTTTTTGACAAAAAATATGAGTTCTTTATTTATCAATTCAACAAATTTTGATTTTTGCACAAATTCTCTTGGTGATTCTATAGTAAACTAGACCCTCTAACATTTTTAAAAAATCATTAAAAAGGGTCCGAAAATTTTCGTGACTGACTGTACATGTGATTTAACTTGAGAGGATCAATATTTCCTTGAAAATTTTGGGTTAAGAAATATTCACAACTGTTTTGGAAATAACTTACGTATACTGCAGCAATTGTTGCAGATTTTGTGTCATCTATAATATCAAACTTATGTTCCATTATTATTTCACTTAAAAAATGTATAAAATGGTACGAATATGTTCACATTTACATTTTGCTGCAGCATTTATGTTCGACGAAACAAAGCTTGAAAAACAAATAAATTTCCAATGATACTGCAATCCTTTTAATCATTTTCCCAGATGTTTATTCGTGTCCCTTACACCATTGCGCATCGAAGGCGCACAAAATGGCGGTCTGGTAATGAAAGAAACTTGGTCCGCAGCACGGAGCAATTTCTGCATTGATAATGACTCGCCGTGCGAGACAATATCCACACAACGATAATTATTCCTTCGATGAACACGACTCTTCGATCGAACCGCTCGATCGGAATGCCGTCCGTCACAAATCTATTATGGTCGCGGGAAACGTATTCAAAAACTCGTCTGTTCCGTCGATATAATTCCTATTAAAATGCCGACGTCGACCTCGAGGAACTTTCAATAGACGGCGCGCGATCCACCGAATATGAAAATTCCGACAATGACTTGGCTCGTAAAGATCCAACAGGAGATGATATCGGCGCCGGCTCGTACGGCTAACTGGTAATTAGTATTCGTGCGTATCTATTTCTCTCGCGAGCGTAAGGTCACCCGCGATATTTATCGTGTCGTGAGTCGAATATGCGAATATGCTAGGGTGACTAAGATTGTACAGTTACACGCCCGCAGTAGCATAACTTTTGCGGTGGTTGTTCACTTATTTGCAAGAGAGGAACGCGCGGTATTCCTACGTGGTTGGTCGCGACATTAAAAACGCATTTAACGGACGACGCGATTGCCCGAATCGGCGAACACTTTTGTGGAGTAACGTTTATACTGTAAAAGCTTTCGGTCAAATCTCTGTTCACCGTTCGAACGACTTCGAAGATTTTCATCGAGTTATTAACTCATTGTTTCCAATCATACATTCTTTGAAACTGTTTATGGTGATCGACAGTAATCGAACGAGTTAAACAAACGAAACAGTTTGAACGAGTCAAGTATTGGGTTGGCAACTAAGTAATTGCCGATTTGTTCAATGAAATAAAAATTTTTTTTTTACTTGGAATGAAGTTTAATCTGTAATGTATTTTCCATTTTGTACGATGACCTTTTGCCATCCCTCTGACAACTTGAAAATTCCACGCTCGTAGAAAGTCTGATCCTTTTCGGCCAAAAACTGAGTTAAGTGAGATTTTACAGCGTCATCGTCATTAAAAGTTTTACCACGAAGGGAGTTGTCCAGGGATCGAAATAAGTGGTAATCCGATGGCGCGAGATCAGGGCTATATGGTGGGTGTAACATCAATTCCCAACCAATATCCATCAATTTTTGCCGAGTGGACAAAGACGTGTGCGGCCTAGCATTGTCCTGGTGGAAAATGACACCTTTACGATTGACCAATTCTGATCGCTTTTCCTTGACCGCTGCATTCAATTTGTCCAGTTGCTAACATTCACGAATAATAAAAAATAACATAATAATAATAATAATAATAATTTTATAATATAACAATTACGGATATCATAAAAATGGGAGTGAGAGACATCTATAACACTGAAATCGGCAATTACTTAGTTGCCAACCCAATAGTTCAAACTTTAAATTGAACTAGGATACAGATTTTTTAAACTACTTTTTAGATACTATATTATGCTGTTGTGAACATATTTGTGAAATTATATATTATAATCGCAATTATAATTATATATTTGTGAAAATTCTCAGTTTCGTTACATTGTAAAAAGAATAAATTTCTTTGTCAACTAAAAGGTTATTCATTGGAAATAACGAATAAAAGTGATCAGGAAAATGAATAAGAAAATAAAATAACAAAACTAATGCATAAAGATCCGCAGACTAGTTATGAATAATCCTCTGTCATTCTAGAAATGCGTCAGAGAAGCAAACAAAAATACAGCAATGTTAACACCATTACGAATTTTTTTGAAAGTGTGTGTTGCATATATTGCTTCATTGAAATGTATCTAC